AAAAATTCAGGTGGCCAAGAAGAATTAGCTTTGTCAAGAAAACCTGCAGAATTACGAGTTCACTGGTGAAGAAGCACCACTCTGGATTCTGCAGCCAAGGCCACAGTCAAGGTCCCCCACCAACCGTGGAAGCCCCTAAGGCCCACACCCCCAGCAGACCTCGCCCAGAGGCACCAAACCCAACCTCACACCCAAAACATGCTTGGAATATACTGTATTTCAAGCCCTCAACACAAGTGCTGTAGAAGATGCTGATATTGGTTTCAGGGCTAATTTTTCCTTATGTTTTCTCCAATCCTAGATTAAATACTTGAGCATTTGGACTGTGAACTTCAGAACTTCATTGGTATGCCAACAAAGAATTAACCTTTTTCTCATGCATATTACAAACCACCGAATAACTCTTCAGCATCAGATTTGTCAGTTTCTTCTCAATATATATAAAATAGTCTTGTTAGAGTGCCTGACCATGTCACAACATGTGATCCTTTAGAGCTAAAACAGAACTAAAGGCTTACTTTTTCCAAGTCATCACAGTTCGTACTTTTTAAAGACTGTTGACTACTTAGAAATGTTTGTGATTGCATTTTCTTCCCCTATTCCTCAACAACATAGCAACCTATCTAAAATGACTATAAAGAAAATTTTAAAAAACATTATTAAAATGGCAGAACTTATTTTGCACGGATTTCTCTTTGCTCTTGAACTGCTGTCTTACAGAACTTAAAAATTAAACACTTTGACTTTTAGCTCACTGGCTTATCTCAGAAACATCTATCTCCCATGCCGTCTTCACATGCTATAAAAAAGGGATGGGCACCACAGTCAAATACCTTCTTTGCAAATGGAAAAGCACTTCCAAGAGTTTAGGTTTCTCCTGGTGGAAGCTTCCAACCCCCTGCCACAGCAGCTGCTTGTCTTAACACAAAGGAACATGAGTCAGGTAACTGATGCAGGTACCAAATGAACTTTTTTCCTTAACTGACACAAGTTATGAATTGTATACACAAAAAACAACAACGTATTCTTATCTGTGATCCACTTCCCAGTCTGGTTTGCTGAACAAACCCAAAAAACCCCAGTATGGCCCAGCTGGGGAACTGGAAGAGGCTGCTTATGCTATGCCAACACACAAAAGAGATGAGATGACAAAACTGCAGTTCAAGTTTAGCATGATACTGAAACTTTTACCTACTGCATGTCTCCACCAGCTGTCTGGAGAAGGACAATAAACTCTTTACAGGATTTGTGGCGTCACAGCTTATTTGTCATGCAGACATTACGAGGGGAGTCACCCTGTTTCCCTGACAAAGCACTATAAATATATAAAGGTATATCATTCTGAAAAAGATCTGTATAGCTTCACTGCAGCAGCAAGTTCCCAGCATAGCTGCTTTTCCTGGAGCACTGCCATAATATTTTCTTATCAGTAACTGAAGTAACTAACCAGCTAACTCCCAGTGATGGGCTTTGCCTTCTAGATCTGCATAAAGGTCATTTGCAAAGGGAAAAAGGCAGGCTTGATAAATAAATAAATAAAAAGAAACCATTGTGCCACATCCACGGCTTTGTTTCCAAAAGCCATGAAGAAGTGCAATGCCAGGCTGAAGTGTCTGACTATTCAGTAAGTACAAGGAGTGGCCGATTCCCTCCCCACAGTGAGATTGTTGACAGCTGTTTTAGAAGAGGAAAAAAAAGTGAAGCATGACTAAGCTATTCATAAAAATCACATTATATCCAACACCCTAAAAACAAGTTTTGTTTTAGAAAAGGTGCAGGGCTTCCTGGACGTGACTGACAAGGTGGTACATGCCAGCCCTAACCAGGCTCCCACCTGGATTATAACCCCTGTGGCAAACCCCAGGGCAGCAAACAAGAACTCTACACCAGAGCTATCAGCTGCTCCAGGACGTCACTCATTACCTTTATCTGTCCTACAGGTGATCAATGCAAGCAAGCACATGAGCACTTGGCACCAAAGAGCACTCAGTAATCACAAGGTGCAGGCTGCAAGGTGTTTTCCTCCCCAGCTTTCCACATCCAGCCTCTCATGTGCCTGCAAATAGGAGTTATCCTCCAGTTGGAAACCAAGCCAACTGCCAACTCCCTATGCAGGAGACCGGTAAAACATGGGGCCACAATCACACAGGGAGGCCATATCATGCCTTTATGGCCTCCTGGACCTTCTGAGCCTTCTCCTGAACTTCTTAGCAGTGCCTTCCACCAGCAGAGGCAAGCCAAAACCAAATAGCTCCTCCCTACCAATCAGCTGTGTGGTTTAGCTGACTTCAGGCTATTTATTGCCTGTGTGGGGAAACCCTATAGAAATAGCATCTAATAGCACTCAAGTAGATTGCAGAGATAACCAGCTACAGTAATACACAGAAAAGCTTCCAAGCTGCTTCAAGGTCGGTTTTATTGGCGAGCGGATCACCACCAAATACCAGGCAGAGAAAACTGATACGTTGGTGTCCTGGAAACAGTGCAAAAGAAATAGGTACAGCAGGCACTGCAGCTTCTACTGATGATTTTTTTGTTAAGTAGCTATTTATTAAAACTTAATATTCCAGCAGAAAATTATATGAAAGAACCCCACTGCTTTTGTAACACAGGAGCATGTGAACACCACCAATAAACCTACCAGTGTTTTTTTCCTCTAGGATAATTTATTGACTGCTGTTCTTAATTCATGCTTTGGATAGAATAACCAGATTCCTTTAACAGTACTTAATCCTCCTCTTAGCACAGGAGTGTACCGTAGACCAGAACACAGCTTACTCACAAGTATATCCTGCTGAGAGATTAGTGAGTTCTGCATATGCCCGAGTCTCAAAGCTGTGCTACGCAGACTGTGTTTAAAAACATCCATCATCGCATAGTACCTGGCAGAGCTCTGTTCCTTTGAGAAGCTTTGAGTTGTTAAATGTGTTTCCCTCCTTTGATGCAGCGAAGCTGTAAATCAGGAACATCGAGCTCCTGCCTTTCTCTCTGGCTGCAGTCCCTGGCTGGACTCTCTCACTTCGGACACGCTGTGTCCTCACCTCTCGGGCTATGCCGGCCATCCGTGGCCGCCGGAGCCGGGCAGGAAATCCAGGCTGGATGGAACACAGTCACACAGCACAGCTCATCCACACTACCTGCGGGGGACTCGTCATTCAGGCTACCTACAAAACCTGTCTGCCTGGCAGAACTCAACATCCGTGCCCTTCTAGCAACAGCCCCAGGCTAGCCCGTCTGTCCAGCACCGGGCAGCACTGCAAGGACAGATGGGGACGGAGAGGCTCAACCCATGAAATGGACAACAGGTACGCACTGGAACTCGTGCCAAAGGAAAACACATGACCAGATGATCCTCACCTTGCCTAATGCACCCTTACTCTGCTATCAGGCTTGTAAAAAAAGCAACCAAAACAAAAAACCCAAACAAACCCAATTTCAAGTGTACGAATGCAACACTGTTACCATGTCCCGAAGCACAGCAAATGCCCCTCTACTATAGACAGCACTTTCTATCCACAGGCAGGGATGTTATGAGGTTAACATCAATTTACTCCCACTGCTAAGGTGTCTATGTATAAAAATACACCTCCTCTAACACCACAGTAAATGATATCTTACCTTCAAGGACCCATGTGGAACTTGAACTGGTTCACCCTTACAATTCCACAACAGCTCAGCAAGGGCGTGCAAAACATGAGAAACACACCCAACAAGGGACTCAAGGAGAGTCACCACAAACAGAACTAATGTCACTTGGCCCTTTAAAACTGATTAGATTACATTAGCCAAAACTCCCAGTACACAAGACATCCATAGATCTCAGACCAACTGTCTAAACTCAGCTCTGAAGCTACATGCTTTACATATTTCTACTGCATCGCATATCTCCATGAGTACCTAAAGTTTTACGGCTGACGGAGATTACAGAGAGCCACAGTGACCAACTGTCCTACAGCAGTACAGCATTTCTAATCCCTTTATCAAATCCCTATCTGGTGATCCACAGCAGAATTGGTACAGTGCACTCTTAAAATAAAAGAATTTTTAATAAATCACTTTTTTCCCCACTTCCCATCTCCAGCTAACACGAAGCCCTCTAAAGGACACTGGAGCAGAAACAATTCCAGAGGTCAGCAAAATCAGATTCTGCAAATCCCCACTCCTCTATATGACTTGTGGTTACAACACAGTCACAGAAGGTGGATTAATAAAGCCCAACAGTTTACAGGTTCAGAAAAACTATTTCGCAATCCTCATCCAGAAACTCCTGCATTTGCTTCAGAAGAAGGGTCTGCACTTGAGAAGGAACAAAAACAATAATATTTTCAAGAAACAGAGTGAACGCATGAAATAGACGCCACGGCAATGACCCTCTGAGTGACACCAAAGGCCACTGAGACCCAAAGGTGAAACACACCAACACCAACCAGCGTGTTGCGGGGGGCTGTTGATCAGAATCTACGGTGACTTTCGTGCAATAAACTGAGATACAAACTTGTGTCTGTGAAGCTGGAGGGGGGTTCCGTTCGGGATATCAGTATTCCAGTGCGGAGGGAGGTTGGGGGCCAGGCGGGTGCAGGTCCCCGCACACTCCCGGGCACAGCGGGGCTCGTCCCCGCGCGTCCCCCCGGCAGCGGGGCCGCCACCCCCGCCCGGCTGCGGGGGGACCGCGCCCGGCCCCGGCCCGCAGACAATAGCGGCGGGGAGCAGCCGCGCGAGAAAACACTCCAAATAAATGAAAAACTACCAAGAGCCGCAGAATGAAAAGGAATAAAGCCACGCGGAGGAGAGGAGACGCCCGGAGCGGCTCCACGCGAAGTTGAGCGGAGAAAAACCCCCGAAGGACGAAGAAGGGCGGGGGAAGCGTGCGAGGGCGCGGGAAGGGGCGGGGGGCTCCCGCACACCCCCGGCCCCGGAGAGCGCCCACCCCTCCGCCCCCGCCGGCGGCCTCCCCAAACTTTCCCCCACCCCTTCGCCCAACTCCGGCGGGGCAAACTCACCGCGGGGCCCGGCGGGCGGCTTCGCCCCTGGCAGCGGGGCCGGGAGGGAAGGGAGAGGGACGGGGACGGGGAGGGGGCGGAGGAGGCGGCCGGGCCGGTGCTCTCCGCCCGGGGAGGCGGGCAGGAAGAAGGGGAGGAGGGCCGGGGGCTGCCGCCTCGCAACCTGAGCCACAGCCTCCGCCGCGCTCGCCCGGCCCGGCCAGCCCGCATGCGCCGGCCCGGTGGGGCCGCTCTGGGCCGGGCGGCGGGGAGCCGCTCTGGGCCAGGCGGTGCGGGCCGAGCGGGACAGTGCGGGGCCGCTCTGGGCCGGGCGGCGGGGAGCCGCTCTGGGCCAGGCGGTGCGGGCCGAGCGAGGCCGTGCAGGGCAGGCGGTACTCGCTGGGGCTGAGATCCGGCCGTGCCTGCCGTGAGCAGCGCTGGGGAAAGCCCCGCTCCCTGCCCCGGGGGCTTCTCCCTCGCCTGTGCCCCCTCCCGGTTGCTCGGTTGCTAGGGGAGAGGCGGCGGCGTGTGTGGTAACATGGTGGTGCGGGTGTGAAAGAGCGCAGGCAGCTGCTTGGGCTGCGGGTTTGTTTTTATCGAAGGGGGACCTGGGCATTGCTTCATGCCTGGAAGAGTTCAAGGCCAGGCTGGATGGGGCTTTGAATAATCTGCTCTATCAGGAGATGTCCCTGCCGATGGCGGGGAGGTTGGAACTGGATGACGTTGAAGGTCCCTTCCAACCCGAACCACTCCAGGATTTTAGCATTCTGCCTTCCCACGCACCGAGCTCTGGCTGTAGGGCCTGTTCTGGTAGGTGTGGAGTTCTGGTGTCCCTATTCCAGCGGCTAAAGCCTCTCCTAGTGCCCAGAGCATGAGCTGTCCAGCTGTGAATGGAATCTGCTGCACATCTGTAGCTGTCACACACCCAGCAGCTCCACTTGAGTCCCACCAGCCCAGCCCACAGCCTCATCCTGCTCCTCACCCTCTTTCCTGATTCTCCTAAGGTTGTGTAGGTTTGATTGAGGAACATCTCCCGTACCATTCCCACGCCTTTCCCCGGAAAAGCAGTGGAAACGGCACCCCACCATTAACAAATGAGCTCATGTGATCTGTGGTCCGTGTGCGGCTGGGCTGGAGGAGGCCCTGCAGAGTGAAGATGCCTGATCTCTTGTGGTGGTGACTTGCCTTCAGTTACCGTTTTTGTTGGAAGCTCTTTGGAAATGTGTGCATGTGGTGGCCCAGCATTTCCACGTAGCTTTTTCTACAGCACATGTGTGTATCCCACTAGCCCTGGCAGTGGCTGGATGATGATGTCCACAAAGGCAGTATCAGCACTGAGCTTAACATGTGTCACTTCATGAGAACCAGCCCAAAGCACTTCACAACACTCTCCAGAGATTTTGCTGCTGATCAGAGCACTGAGCGAAGGCTGCAGGTAATTCCCATACATCATGTTCTCTCTGAGTAGAACAGAAAAACCAACACTGTATGGTGCAGAAGATTATCTCCTGAAAACCCTGCACGTGAACTTGCCCTTGACTTCCAAAATATGCACTGTAGATTCTGCTGAAAGCAACTGAAACAATAAAAATGGTTCCAATGCTTGTGCATTTTGGTAGTTTTGGAGACTGGAATGTACCAGCATTGTACACCCTTACAACCAGAAATAAAGCAGTAGTTTTTTCTTATATGGCTCCAATAAAATAAGGCACATAAGAGCAGGGACTCTGGAAAAATATTTTCCTTTGCCTTGGTGCCATCTGTACAAGAAGGGCTTATGGGGCAGATCACTTGGAAGTTCCGAGCTCCAAGAAGAAGGGTCAGGCACAGCAATGGCTCAGCAAAGAGCACCATCTAGTGAAAGGCCACGTCTTGAAACTGTCCCCTGCAAGGCTCCAACCAAACAATAACTAATGCAGCCCAGCCTACCTGTCGTATCTGAGACAATCACGAGTGAGGTAGCGTGGTAACAGGTAACACCTGCCTAAATTTTTCCATAAGAAGAACACCGGGATCTTTAGCTCTGCCCTCTTGGTTGTCCATCAGTGAAATATCCTTTCCTTGTCAGCTCCATCCTGTCAAATCAATCTCTGTCATCTGCTGCCTTGCCTGGATCTGACACAGCCCTGGTGTTGCTGTAGGTGCCCCCCTGTCACGTAGTGGGGGTCAAAAGTCCCAAAGCAGGGATTCCCTGAGTCTGTACCAGCTGTGTACATGCCCGTGCGCAAGAGCAGCAAAGAGTTTGGAAATCCTTTTGGGGTGTAGAGTGTGAAGATCGTCTGTCATCAGGGCTGCCCAGGAGCATTTAGCATAGTCACAGTATTCCAGACTGAGTGGCAAGCAAATTAGCATGGAAAATATTCAGAAGACAGTGCAGCAGCTTAGCACCAAAGCAGGAGGATCAGCTGGTTGGCCCCGTTCATGGAAGATATTCTGGCCCATGCAGTCACAGAAGGTGAATCAAAACACAGGCAGAGATGGTGTAATTTTCCTAAGATAAATATTTCCTGCCAAAGTGGGCCTCTTCAGCCTCCCACATATCCCTGAAGTGCCAGGGGCTGGTGGTAACTCAGGAAGGCAATTGGCAAAGGTAGACAGCACTTTGGGAGGGGTAGGCAGCTCCCCAGACTGCCAAGGGATTGGGCAGGATCTCAGTTTAGATTTGATCTCATGTCCCCCTGGCTTGTGGGTGGGTTGCTGATGCCCCAGGACCAGAGACCACTGAGCATGTGTCACAAAAAGCCTGTATCAGCCACTTCAGATGCCCAGCCCCTGCTCTCAGCAGCAGTTAACACATCTTTTTACCTTGCATTTCCCCAAGATTAGTCTGCACTCTACTTTAGTCTTTAAATTATCCACCCCCAAATTCCCTATATCAAAATATCCTGTCTGCAAACACATATCACCACAAACCAGAACAGCAAGGCAGTAGATTAAGGGAAATTTGTGCAGCACTCTGTGGATGCCAACATCCTGACAAATCATTTGCCTTCAAATCATCCCTGACACTAGCTCCCCTGGGTTCCATCCTCTGCTATATGTCCAGGTCTGCTTTTCAAACCTTATGAAAAAATAATAAAATATATCAGATGTTCTTTCATTGCCTCTTTCAGGTTTTAATTTGTCACAAGCTTTGCTGCAGGGCTTCCTGCTTCCTACTAGGGAACTGGATTGAAGTGTGAGTTGCACTCATGAATGAGACTGGAATTTGGTTCTGCACAACATAATCTGAACATTTGTGTGTAGTGGCATGAATTAGCAATATGAGCACATTGTTCCCGTGGCTGGAAATGAGCTGTCCTTGCAACTGAATAGAAAACAGAGTGCAGTGCAATGATAGAAGCAGGAGCTATTAAAGATTTGTTTTCATCATATCCAAGCAGCTACAAAACTGAGCATTAGTGTGTGGTGTTTACTTTGTGTCCCTGCTTGTTTGAAGCCAGTGCCTGTTAGCTGAGAATAACAGCAGCTACACCTGAAGAGATTTTAATGTCATTTTCCTTCTTGAAACTCTACCATTGTAATCTCTAAAGTCCTGTAAGAGGTACAATCTTTGCTGCAAAATTATGGACTGTGGCTGAAAGCAGCCTTCAGGAGAAGTTAACCCATTCCTGTGTACTATATAGATCTCTCAGTTAAAATGTAAAAATTCTTAGTGTCTCACAATTTTCAGACATAAGATTCCACCCTTGGCACAGGAGATGGTGTGGAATGGGTGAACTGCAGTAAAATCCACCCAAAACACAAACACTTAATGACCTGCAAAATTAAGTTAATGAATTAACAACTTCCCCAGTTTTTTTTGTCCCTCTGTGGAAAGTTTGTGGGGCCCTGCTGGGAAGAGAAGGGGTGCAGGCTTGCAGGAACGTGTCACCTACCATGTACCCCGGCTGCTCATCACAGCTCTTTGTGATGATTTCTCAATTCTGGGAGGCAGTGCTTATCAGTTGCTCATGCAGATGTCATTTTAGTTGCTCAATTGGTGGAGCACATCTAGCAGGTCACCTCTGCAGCTCACAGGGCCCCTCCATATGCTGATAAGCTGTGCTAACACCAAGGTCTCAAAACTCCCCTTTACATATATCACTGGAAGCCCTGCTATAAATACTGTTTTTTCTTCTGGTCAAAACTTTTCAGTTACTATTGTTTAAAGGACATGCAAAGAGGTCAGGGAACATCTCTGCTGACAGCCCCAGCAGAACCACACCCACATGAATTTATGACAGGTACAAATAAACTTATTTCACATCATCTTTACATATCCTCCAGACCAAAGAAATCTGGTGAAGTCCATGTGGTACCTGCATCTGCTGCCTTGCTACTTCTGTAACTCCACTGAATCATCAGATATGCTGAGTTGGAGTGGACCTATCAGAATCATTGAGTCCAACTCCTGGCCCTGTGCAGGGCACCCCAAGAATCCCACCATGGGCCTGAGAATGTTGTCCAAACACTCCTTGAACTCTGGGAGGCTTGGAACTGTAACACAGAAACAAGAAATAAAAGCAAGCAAAGAACAAGGACTCCACAGTCACCTTTGCCATCCCACAGGGATAAGATCTGTGCAGGTGTGTTGCAAAAAAGGTGACATTTCATGCCCTCCTGCCTGGTAAAAAAATATCCATATTGGATGGGGCCTTTGAACAACCTGGTCTAGTGGAACGTGCCTGTAGCAGGGGGGTTGGAGCTACATGATGTTTAAGGTGCCTTCCAACCCAAACCATTCTATGATTCTGTGCTAATAGCAACTACAAAAGTAACTCACACAGCCTCCTACTGCTGTGCCAGACCTTTGAAGATCAGACAGTGATCCAGAAGACATCCAGATCCTCTTGTCCCAGAAGAGGCTCAAGATATAACTGCAGGCTTGCCTTCCATTCAGCCCTGTGGGATGGATGGTAGATAGAGCAGAAGGAGGGATGAAAGGGGACTTGCAGGATGCAAAAACTGTCTTTAATCCTCCTGGGACAGTTTTCTCTTTCACTTGGGCTTTATACTTCATGCTTTGTCAAAGCACACTGTTTACAAGCATCTGCTCTGGCCATCCTGTTCTTTTCAATACACCTTTTAATTTAATACAGTTCTATTT